CAGTAGACTAAGCAGCACCAGCTCATTGCAAGTAGTGGTAGTTGTACAGTAACACTGCTCGGCGCTTCTAGCTACAGCGTGTTGAGGAAGTCTGAAGCCCTGGTTTTGTTCCGATTGCTTATTTGAGTTCATGGGCTTAAATAAAGACACTTAATCACAGGAGCTGGAAGTTTTTCTCAGGACTGCAGGAGGACTCTGCCAAGACCTGAGGCAGTCACATCTCTGGATTGGAGGAAAAATATTCCCCTCAGTTACTGCATGACTCACAAAAACAACTGCCCTGAGAGAAATCTGATACGCATATCATTTATACTTACTTACTTATCCTTGCAAAACTTGGTTTTTTGCCACATTTAATCCTTACTGCTCATTATGAAGGTGCATTTAGGGATGTTGCCAAAAGTTGCTCACATCTATCTCTACAAATATAAATCATTAATAATATTATTTTTTAAAAAAGGGCCAGTAGACATCCAAAAAGATGAAAAGAATCTAACAAAAAACAAAATTTGCATTTTTAATTACTATACACTAAGTCAACTTTAAATTAATTAATTACATTGTATATTTAAAATATATTATATTTATATAATAAAAATAAATTAAATATATATTTGTATAAATATTTTAAAATACTAAAGAGGTAACTTCATGAATTACGTCTACACACAGTTCAAATTTACAACGTTTTCTGGTGGTCCTGCTTTATTATCCTGACAGGTTTTTACGTTACTGTTTACAGAGTGGGCAGAGCTGTCTGCTTAGGCCAAATAAAACTAGGCTTATACACCTGGAAAATAAAATGCCACTGCACAAGTGCCTGTCTTCCAGGGCAACGTAACACCCAGCACCTCTGCTCGGGACTAATTGGCTGTAAACACCGTTTTAACAAAGTTGTGCTGCAGTGTTACGCAGACGAACAGGAGTGATTGAAAGAGACGCTAGTGTTGGCAGGAGGGTCAGCTGAATGTGGGTGTGGAACAGCGTTGTGTTTTGTATTGTTTTGTTTGTTTTTTTTGTAAATGACAAAGCTTTGTCTGTACAACGTGTACCTGTGCAGCACACCTGTTTGTGTACAGCATGTTCAGCTGTGTCACATTTCAGCTGTTGCTAAATCTTTGAAACGCATACAGACGAGTGTGGTTGAAATCCGACAGACAAATGACGGGTGCACATAAGGGCAGCCATAATAAATGACCCCGGTCTGTGGACATGTACTGTAGTCTAACATAAAGATTAGATTTGGATTTATTATTTATTGAATTTTACCCTAGTAAGAACCACACCGAAAAATAAATCCCATACCTACTGTAGGAGGGAAGGAAGAAAAAAAAGAAAATTACAATAGTAATATATTAAGTTGAATAATAAATTTGCACACATATACGAATAATTTACATTAAAAATAATACAATAACACTAATAATAATATCTTTACAATTAAGGAAACAGGAACTCACAGAAACCAGTTAATCAGTGATCTTCCTGTAAGAATATTATGTATACATTATAGTACTTCATGTACATTTTTTAACATTTATATATATATTTATATATTTACAAATATTTATATATTTAATATATATTGTCTTAGATAGATAATACATCTTTTTTTTATTTTGATGTAAATAATCTTTTCCTGTATTTTTCCATTTTAACGCCCACTTCTCCTGAGGTTTTTGGCATCCAAAGTTGATTGGGCGTTAATTTGTGTGCTTTTTCAGTGAAAACAGTGAAGTCAGGTGACTCAAGCTCAGTAAGACAAAGGTCCAGTTTAACTATATAGTGCAGGTGACCAGCTTGCATGACCAAGTCATGTGGCTGGCTGTCAGGCTTCAACCTGGGGCCTGGCTGATTGTTAACACCCCGTAGAGAGACCTATTGCCCCGGGCTATTAGTCATCCTGACAAGCATGGCATGTGTGCCACTCTCTCTGGTCATGACACACTTGTTTCCACCATCTCCCTGCCTCACGCAGCTCCAGCTCTGATATATTCTTAACATGTAGTGGCAACAGTGACACGAGGCCAGTGAACCAAATCCAGCACCTATCAATTACTGATGAAAGCAGCGTTTTACCTGTTTTTTTGGGTTTTTTTTTACCGCACACTCACAGTTAAACACAGATGTTGCATGAGGCGATGTCAGAGCATGTTTGAAAGATGAGTGGGGAAAGTTTTCCTTAATATTAGGGTTGTGCCAGAACAATATGAATACAAGACATTTTATTTGTATACTTCCCAATACTCTTTTAGGCTTTGGTTTCAATAAATATGCAATGAACTGGAAGGCAGTAATATAAGGGCAGCACAGCTCTGTGGATAAATGGGTGAAGTGCAGCGTGTAGGTGTAAGCTCAACCCAAACCACAAGTACTATCAGCGCATTTCCTTTTCTCTTCGTTACCAGAAATATTTCTGTATTAAACAAAAACCACCGTTAGCTAACATCCTTTCGTAGCTAAGAACAGACTCAAAACCTCACACATAGAAATTAAGGAAATATTTAGATAATGTTTGCTCCACACTGGTTCATTCCCCGTGTCCTGTGTTGCTGCTCAGTGCTGTTGAAATACAGGCAATGATTCAGCATTAGAGAAGGCAGGGACTCGGCACACTGCTAATGTCATTAGGAGCTCTATTCCCTTTCATCATTTCCTGCAGGGAAATGCCACAGAGGAGGTGGTGATCAGTGGATCAAATTTGGGGTCCACAGATAATGTATGTGGCTAATTTACAGCCCAGAAGTTTTTTTTGTTTTTTTTTTTTTTTAACCTTGTCCCATGCTGCTTCAGGCCTGACTCCAGAGCAGCAACTCTGTGGTGTAATCAGCAATCAGAAAAGAAAGCCAGAGGTCAGGCTCTTATAAAAGGCTTCTGAGGAGTTTGATTTACCGTCCCAACATGAGCACTGAACAGGGCACTTATTTATAAAAAGAAATAATAATAACAAATATATATATATATATATATATATATATATATTAGTTTCTGGATTATAATTACTAAACTGGAAATGTAAGCGACATTAGGACTACAAACACTTAAAGATTGATTTAAAAAACTGTCTATGGTAGGCATGATTTATCCTTACATTTTTTTCTATGGAGATGTTGTTAGTTAAGTTGTTTTATCATCTACCTTTCTGAATGTTCTAACCAGTGTTAAACTCTGAGGTTTGACCAGTCAGCCACTGACCTGTGCAGATATTTACGCTTGGATGAAATTGTGCTTAAGGGCAGGCAGGTATATAGTTTAGGGGGACTTTTACCAAAACTATAAAGATGAGATACTGTTCATGGCAGTCCTAAAACAAAGTCATCTGTGACAGGAGAATATAAAATGTTTTATTACTCTCTACAAAATGTAAATATAAAAAGAAAGGATGACCCATGAAGACATAGCAGAAAGTTAATGTAGTAAAATACTTTTTTTAAAGTTTAAAACCACAAGCATCGGGTTCAGGTGACAATATTTTGCAATATTAATGAATTGTCTTAAGAAATGTAAAATGGGAGTATATGAAAAGTTATTTTACCTTGTCTTACCCTGGCATGGAGTTGATGCAGTTTAAACATTACTTACGATAGATCAATCCATTTGGTTTATCTTTAATTTGTTGCAAACTCACAGTGTCAAGTACGTGTTAGCTACTGTCCAGTGTTACAGAGGCTGGTCCCAACCTGAATACTATTTATCCAACTCAGACGCTGACCTGTCGGCTTCCGTCAGGTTCCGACAGAAACACATTTGTGGAAAAGTTATTGGTCTGCAGGCACCATGGTGTACTCATTTATTCCTGTGTCCTCCCTAAGGAACCTTCACCAAAGAGGAAGGAGGGAGGCACATTTCTTATATTTATGGAAATGATCTGGGAGAGCTTCTCCGATGATGCTCACGGCTCTCAGTGGGTGCCATGCAAACGTAGACAATGATTTCTCCAGGAGGTGCATAACCAGGGCAGATCTGGGATTCCTATTAAAAAGACATTGAGGGGTTTTGAAAAACAACGCAGCACAGATACACACTCTGGGCGCATCACCTGTGCTTCTACTGCTGATGAAAAGTGGTTTCATTTAGTGATGTGTTCATTAAGTGTAGTTAATGATTTGGTGATACACAATTTGGCAGTATACTCAGAGGACATGTTTTTAATGTTTTTAGCGGCTACACAGTACATTTCTACATGAAACCTAACTAAATTCAGTAAATATATGGCATACTCAAAAGAGTACTAGAGACTTTGTCCCACTACAGTAATGGCTGCCCTTTGAAGTTGCCATACCTGTTTCATCCATTTTACATCTTATCATCTGCCTAGGTCATTTCTGGTGTAAAATTGTGAAAGCTGACTGTATGCCGCTAATTTAAAAAAAACAAACATTAAATCTCATTCGTAAAATTAGTTAAAAAATTTTTCCAGAGATAGCGTGACTACGATAAAAGAAAGAAACACACAGTAGGACAAGTTAAAGTACAGTACGATTAAATATAGATGCATTTTGTAGGTTATTCTTTAATTGTAAAGTTTAAAAATGAAAAGTCAAAAAGAGGGCCTATATTTCTTCCGCAATACTTAAATATTGCAGAAAGACAGGCCCCGTTTAACCTCAGCAGGTCATCCTTAATCTGGAAAAGTAATAAGAAGACACAACTAAAAGACAGGAGCCAAAGAGAATATTTACACAAAGACAGTAAATCACTGTTTAACACAGCTCTGCCTGAAGCAGGCCGCTCTTACTGTGCCTCAATTAAATA